GTTGTTTCATCATATCAAAAATAGTTATGGTTTCCAATATTCTTTTTGTTCTGGATGTCTGCCAAGTTCTACACCGGCAGTGTTGCCAGACGGCAGGCAGTTTCAATCCAGAATGCTAAGACCTGCTGTGGTTGGCAGAGAAGAAAAACATTCGGAGCTTGACATTTGTTAATGTTTTGTCCTAATCCATGGAAGACATAAATGTAGAACAAAAGAAAGTGAATAAAAATGAATAGGAATTTCTCTGTAAAGAACGCGGAAACTGTTGAGTGTGCAGTTGAAGAGAAAGAAAGAAAAACACTTACACTGAAAGTCATGGCAAAAAAAAGTCCAGGCTGAAAACTGATGAAAGAGCTGTAATTTTCCATGCATGCTGCAAATAGGACATTTCCTTGTGTTACTCTTTTCAGAGACATCAAATGTTCTGTGTCACAAACATTATTTACGGAGGTTTTCTGAGAAGCCCAACAAGAAAAAAAAAAACGAAAGGAAAATGGAAAATAGGGAAAGTGAACCAAGGTCTGTTTTCTCTCTTCCCTGTCGCTGATACTGTCACATGAGGTAGCCTGTTAAACGCAGGAAACCGTTTGGTGTGTTTCTCTCTCTCTGAGTGCCACACAACGCTGTTTGTCGTTCCCTTTTGAACCGTTGCCTACTGGATCAAAGCATGCATGAAAGTGTGCAGGTTAGTTAAAACCAGAGATGTGTTGAACCACGTTCCATATTCACACACACAGAGCTCAGTCACTAAGGATAGCTCCACTCTGATGATAAAGCAATGTGCTTGTGTAAAAGGTATGTGAGACTGCAAATGAAAGAGACCTTATTGATGCTGAAGAAATCACAGGTATTTTTGAACCCACAAAAAGTAGAAAAACAAATCTTAAATGTTATTATAACTGCCAGATTAATTGGTTGCTATTTGGCCATTTTGAGAGCGTCTGTAAAATTATGTCTGCTTGGCTGTGATTTTATCATGTAATACTTCCTAAATCCACTGACAGTCTTGCCAATGAATAAATAGACATTAAAACAAATTAACATTTTGTGTTTTAGTGAATTTTGAATATTTTGTAGAATAAATTAAGTAATTCATTTTAATTATTTTGCTATCATTGCGTTTTATATACACGAACATTCAGAAGTTTGGGGTTGGGGCAATTATTGCCACTAAAGCTGCATTGATTTGATCAAAAATACAGTAAAACAGTAATAATGTTACATATTTTTAATAGTGAGTGCAAAGTTGAATTTTCAGCAGCCATTATTCAAGTCTTCAGTGTCACATGATCCTTCAGAAATCATTCTAATATGCTGATTTGCTGCTCAAGATATATTTCTTCTTATTATCAATGTTGAAAACAGTTGTGCTGCTTAAGATTTTTGTGGAAACTGTGACACAATTCTTGGATGAATAAGAACATTTAAAATTGATTTAAAATAGAAATCAACAGTATAAATGTCTTTACCGTCACTTTTGATCAGTTTAATGCATCTTTGCTGAATTAGAAAAAAAAACGTACTGACCCCAAGCTTTTGAATGGTAGTGTAACCTATATATATATAAATAATTGTGCATGTTGTCGAATATATTATATACATAATATAATACAATATATGCAAAGCAATTTAATGTTAGCAAAATAATTAGAATACTTATTTTAAATATAAAATATATATTACATTTTAAACACAATTATTTGACACAAAATGTGCAATTTAATGTTTTTCTCTTTTGTTGTGTTTTGGTTTTATCATTTGTCACCCTAACATCAGTATCTGTATAAACAACCCATATCAAAGTCCTTTTTGTTCAGTATTGAAGTTCTGATCATCTACATGCAACCTCTTCAAAACTGTTTAAAGGCCTTTAAATATATAGTCGGCTGTTTTGTTTTACAGCAGGGCAGTGAAATATCCCAGTGTACTGACAGCAGCTCCGTTCACAAACAACTAATCAAGCCGCCTTCCTTTGCTTTGAAAATGAAAGGACACTTATCTGATGTCAGGTTTGTTACTGCCCAAGGACTGAGATCATTTCTCTTTCAGCACACAAACGCTGGGTGACGAGAATCAATCAAATGCTGATTCACAGAATTGGCCAACACGGAGGAGAGGAAAAATTCACGGGAGCCAAGTGTGTCATCTGTTGCCAGAGTCTGTATGCGTGATGACAATGCTGTGCTGGATTCTGGTCCAGAACACTGGGTCTGTACTACTACAGCTGCTTGATTATAATGATATTCTGACCCCTGCTGATTCTAGAGGATCCACAATCCCTCTGATCAGTAAGTTGCCTCGGGCTTATCAGCTCTCAGCACGAGGAGGCTGCTGTCCTGAACATAAATATTAGATTTGAAAAATATAGGGTGAATATGAATCTAAGGGAGAGCAAATAGAAAATACTGTTTGGGACGTTGTTTTTGTTTTTGTGATTATCTCTGTGTTGTTATTTGTATTATCACATCTAAATATTTAAATGAAAGATGTGTACCGCATTCAAAGTGCACTAAACTCTGCATTACTGTGATTATAATGAGTGGCAAAAATAATTGTCTTGTGGAAACGACTAACACTGTGTTGAATGATTATAATGAGTGACAAAAATAATTGTCTTTCCATAAAGCACAACATTGCGTTGAAGGCTAAGTAGACTGCAAAAACACTTGAGGTGCAAACACGCAACACACATGCACACACATACACAGACCCGGAGGCACACACACACACACACACCACTGAGAAGCTCAGCTCAGCTCCAGAGTTCAGATTTGAAAAATAAAGCTCCTCAGCAGTCGGCAGGTGTTTGAACATCAAGCCCTGCTCACGTTTGGCCTGCTGTGTTGGGTTGGAGAGAAACCCGCTCTGACTGCAAAGACGAGAGATGCAAGCAGGCAGGAGGAATAAACACTAGTGAATGGAAGGTGAAGTGACCTATTTCTGCATGCGATGGCAGAGGTGTCTACATAAAAACAGCAAAACAAAGCTTCTTGTCTTAAGGCTAAATGGAATTACAAGTCTGATTAGATGCGCTGTATGTTCATTCTTTCATTCCGTCTCGTGTACTACAGCACAATATTACAATGAAAAACACATCTGTTGGAAATATTTGTTTTTATAATAAAGTAGAACTCTGTAAATGGCTTTGTGTGATGATTTATGTACTCTGACATTGTTTAGACACATCGTCAGCTCAAGTTTGCACTGATTTAAATGAAACAAATAGGAGAAAATGTTTGAAATTATTTGTTTAACATGAGGTGGATCTTAGATAAATCTCACCAACATTTTAATTTAATTTTTGATTACCAACATTTCCATATTTGAATTTCTATGGCTGTTAAAGCTAAAATCTATAACAATAACACATGTAACTAGTTTTTAACAAAATAACATTATACCTCACTCTTAAAAATAAAGGTTCTATATTGGCATCTATATGGTTCCATGAAGAGCTTTTAACATCCATGTAACCTCTCCATTCCACAAATTCTTTATAGAGGGAAAATGTTCTTTAGATTATTAAAATGTTCACACAAAGAAAACTGTTCATTAAAAGGTATTATTTGGAGAACTCAAAGTGTTTCTTTAATGGCATTGCTGTGAAAACCTCCTTCTGGAACCATTCATTTTAAGTGTGTTGAATATTGCATAATACCACAGCTCAGAGACATGGTAACTTGGAGTCATCAGACTTTGAACCTCAGGTTTACAGAGGAAAGAAAGAGGGGGAGGAGCCACTGACATGGTTTTGATAAGCCACTCCCCTCACTGTGAGACTGGCTCAAAACATTTAACCCTACATTCCACTCTGGAGCCAAGAGTTTTTCATCTTTGAGTGCTCTGACACCATAAGGTATTTTGAAATATGTAATTTGACCCAAGTCATATCAATACACAGTAAAATTATATGAACTTACCAATTATGACAACAATATTCAGATTAGATCTGAAAAATGTCAGTATCATAATATGAAATAGATGAGTGTGTATCATGTACAGTTTAAAATAATTATATCGACACTGGACTGTATATTTAAATGTGTATGTAAGCTTTATCATTATTCATAACATGAATAACATTCATAACGTGAATTAACATTCACACTTAAACAATTCATTTCAAACTGTAATATAAAAATCCTATGAATTCATGAGATTAATGACATATATATGTGACCCTGAACCACAAAACCAGTCATTAGTAGCACGGGTATATTTGTAGCAATAGCCAACAAGACATTGTATGGGTCAAAATGATCAATTTTTCTTTTATGCCGAAAATCATTAGGATATTAAATAAAGATAATGTTCCTTGAAGATATCTTGTAAATTTCCTACCATAAATATATCAAAACTTAATTTTTGATTAGTAATATGCATGGCTAAGAACTTCATTTGAGCAACTTTAAAGGAGATTATCTCAATATTTTGATATTTTTGGACCCTCAGATTCCAGATTTTCAGATAGTTGTATCTCGGCCAAATATTGCCCCATCCTAAAAAAACATACATTAATGGAAAGCTTATTTACTCAGCTTGATGTATGTATTCAGCTTGATGTATAAAATGTATATAAAATATTGACCCTTATGACTGGTTTGGTGGTCCAGGGTCACATATGTATAAATGGAAATATTAAAATATGTAAATTATTCATGTAAACAGTTTAATTTTTATACATAAACTGTATAGATAGATAGATAGATAGATAGATAGATATATTTATACAATTAGATATTGTATTTAATTAAATATTGAAAACAGGGGTTATAAAATCAACACGTGCACGTGCAGCCAAGCCTTATACCCTCCATGTAAACTTTGACCCTCTGAATTTCGTCTGTTTTCGGAATCTACCATTTCACCTAACTACTTACATGTTGGCCATTCGTGTCAATTTAAAAAGAAATGAATAGGGTGAAAAGAGACAGAAGATGTGAGCACAGGTAGTTTAAGAATAGCACTTTATCATGTCTGCGTCAATACAAAGTTCACAGCTGCTGCTGAGGTGAGTTGTGATCGGTGACATAATGGACTAGTCGCGTGTTTTTAGAGCGCGTGCTTAGATCTGCTGGAGTCGAGCGCTCTCGCGTCTCTATAACGGAGGAGAGATCGGTTCACAATACTGCAGATCGGACATAATGGCTACAATGCTGAGCAAAGAATTGCCGGATATCGAGGTAAAGCGACATGCATAGTGTATCTGAGCTTTGTATATTTCGTTCGGTAAGACGTTTTTACACACTCATCTGTTGCTAGACTTTTTTTGGGCACGTGTCCATGTTTTAAGGTCAGGTAAGATGATTTGTGTGGGAGACTGCGAGAGAAAACTTTGAAAGTTGCACTGTTGTGCATAACACAGACACATCGAAAGAAGAAAAATAGGCGAATAAATGAAAATAATGCTTGATTTTAATAAAACAAAAATCTGAACTTTAATATTATACTTGTTCAGTATATTTGATTTCAACCTAATTTTAATTGTTTATTGCACAGCGTTAAGATATTTATGATGATGATGATGATGATGATATTATTATGAATTATGATTTAGCACTAAATGTTGGTCCATTTACAGTTTTCATAATATACTTTTCTTCTCCAGTCTTTAATATTTACACTTGAATGACAGTTAAAATCCTTCTGAATGTTTTAAAAGGTTAAAAGGTGGAGATGAATAAAAGGTAAAATGAATAAGTTTTTTTTTTTTAAAGGGGTCATATGATGCTTTTTTAAAGATCATTATTTTGTGTATTTGGTGTAACAGAATATGTTGACATGCTGTAATGTTCAAAAAACACATTATTTTTAAAATACTGTACATTATTGTAGGTCCTCTATGCCCTGCCTCTCTCAAACGCTTAGTTTTCTACAAAGTCCCTCCTTCCGACAAATGCAGTCTGCTCTGATTGGCCAGCTGAACCAGTGCATTGTGATTGGCCGAACACCACTAACTTTGATAAAGAATATCTCTTTGGTTTTGAGACTTTAGTCTTTGCAACTTCAGGGATCTTATCTATGCACAATCAGCTTGTAACACTCCAAAGAGAAAGGAAAACTTGAAATCGCATCATATGACCCCTTTAACATGGCCTTGTGAGCTGCTAGGAAGAGATTTCAGGACCTTGGACAGGGACTCGTTCAGCAGCTCTCAGTAGCTGTTCAACACTGATGAAGCCACAATTAGCAGCTTAATGAAAATGTACAGTTCCAATTTAAGGATCATTTCCTCCAGATAAACAAGTGTACAGTCACATATGTTCCACAATTTCATCTGATGTACAATGCACTTTGGAGACAACAGGCCCATTGATTTGTAAGCAGTGCATGATTGTTGGCCTACTTTTAATTTTTCCTTTTTAGATTTCAAAGCAGTAAACGTTACTTTTAACTCATGTTTTGTTTCTATCAAGTGCACTTAAGCAAGCAGGTTGCTAATTTAGAGGTTAAATTAGTCTAGAAAAACAGAGGCATTAAATGTTTTTTAAAGAACTCATGTCCCTGAATTAAAATCAATTAACCTAATCAAAACATAAGAAGGCATAATCAAATGTTGTAATTTTGCTCCTTTTGAAACGGTGCTTCAATTCAGGCCTGTTCTTAACTTTAGTGTCTCTACATTTCCAGTTTTAGTTCCTGCTGTCCGTAGCGTTTGCCATGTTTGATCTAGCATTAGCACATCTGATTTACATGAATCTTATCTATTAGTGGCAAGCCTAAGAGAAACGGTCTTCTTTATGATGTCTTGGTATGCACAGCACACACCGGATGACATCTCTGCTCAGGTGAGATAAAGCTTTCTCTTTTAATTTGAGCAGATATGGGCATTGACTTTCATAGAGAAAATAGAACTGTTACTGACGACTCGCATTAGCATTTCTATTCATGAGTGTTATGACTATGGCAACGTGACCTTGGCGTGCAGAGTGCACTTAAAACGTGCTCTAAACGACTCCTGTCTGCCACTGAAAATACCTCACTAAATGTCATAATAATGGCTGTCCGTGGGGCAATTAAATTGGCCATTCATTTTGGCAGTGCCGTCAGACGTCTCATTTTAATATCCTGCTTTTCCGAGAGCACTAAACGTGTGCCTTTGTGTGTTCTCACGGATTCATTAAAAAATCCTCCGGGATGGCCATCAGTGTTCGTTAAAAAACAGATTAATGTGGCCGCTTACACAAAGGGCTATGGCTTTTTATGGAAGGCCCCGAATCCCAACAATGACCACTTCCTGATAGCGAGTCAAGTACCGTGATAGAAAATTGTCGACTTAAAAGCCAGAATTGCAATATGAACGTTATGAAAGCCCCATTAGCTGACAGACATCCATATCATGGATGTCAAAGTCAGATGCTGTACCTGCTGGAGCTTTTATCCATGCCGTAAAAAAAAGCAGTGCTTTTCGCGTTCAGGAGGAAACTTGGGAACATTTATAATCCAGTAATGGTCTGCGATTACATGCGGTGCTTACCAAGACATTGGCCTCATGACATATGCTACTGATGTCAGTGCTTACATAAATGGTTACATAGTGATTGCACAAGGTATATACACTGCTCTCCGTCAGTGAGCAAAAGTGTGTACTTGTTTAAAACAGATTAGTTAGGAAGGAGGAGCTTTTTTCTTTTTGAACAACTGCATTTAGTGTGTTTACTAAGGCTGATACATAAACAGATCAAATACTTGAGTAATATTCATTTTTTTAGATCTAAAGATACCAGAATTTAACAAAACAATTTGGCAAGACTTTAGTATAGAGACCAATTCTCAGTTTCTTATTAGCATGCCTATTATTAACATATTGTTGTTTATTAGTACTTGTAAAGCACATATTCTGCATGACCATATTCTACATCCCTAATCCTACCCAATACCTTTACCTTTTACCTAATACCAATTTAGGTATTAATAACTATTAATAAACAGCAGATTAGGAGTTTATTGAGGCAAAATTCATAGTTAATGGTTTGTTAATAGCGAGAATTGGACCTTAAAATAAAAAAGGCATGGAAAAATCAATAAGTTTGTGAAAGTCATGAGAATTTCTATAATTAATAAAAAAAAAATTCTAGATATCTCAAAATGTATACATTTTATTGGGTAGAAATGGCTATTTATGAGTAAACAATAAGTGAGTAAAAGTATCGAATTGAATTAAAGTGAATAAGTAAATAAAGTAAAAATATATATATATATATATATATATATATATATATATATATAAAGATAGCAGAATTCAACAAAACAAAACATTTTTTATCATTAAATGTTCAGAATGTTCAGACCTTCAGAAAAAAACCCTGTTGTGTAACAAAATGTGTTTGAATATACATTGATGAGCCAGCAACCCTTCAGCTTGGGTTATCATACTGTCATCCACTCAACCAGTTCATGACCCTAAGTCAATGATTATCTCAGGCACAAGTGAGGGGTATTAAGAAATCTGTTCACAAACACCCTTTTAGTACAGTTTTACAAATATTAAAACACAGTGAAGTCTGTGGTCAGTAATTTTTTTGAATTTCTTTTTTGGTAACACTTTAGTACAGGGACCAATTCTCACCAATTCTCAGTTTCTTATTAGCATGCCTATTATTAACATATTGTTGTTTATTAGTACTTGTAAAGCACATATTCTGCATGACCATATTCTACATCCCTAATCCTACCCAATACCTTTACCTTTTACCTAATACCAATTTAGGTATTAATAACTATTAATAAACAGCAGATTAGGAGTTTATTGAGGCAAAATTCATAGTTAATGGTTTGTTAATAGCGAGAATTGGACCTTAAAATAAAGTGACCAACAATTTTAATAATTTTATGATGCAAATTAAATTAAAATAAGATAGATATTTTCAGATTAGAATGATTTCTAAGACTGGAGTAATGACTGCTGAAAATGTATTTGCCATTACATGAATAAATTAATTTAAATATATATATATTATATATTAAAATGGAGTACAGTTCTTTCCAAATGAAAACTTTCACACTTTTGATATTTTTACTGTATTTTGGATCAAGTAAATGCTGGCTTGGTGAGCATAAGACACTTCTTTCAAAAAGAAAAACATAAAAAAATTGTAATTATTAAAAAAAAAAAATCACCACTAATATAGACAGATATATGGATGGATATATAGATATTCTGTATGCAGATATGATCTGGAAAATGGCAGAACTATATGAATGTGTGTCATGTACAGTTTCAAAGAAGTATGTGAATAATGGTCTGAGAACTGTATATTAAATGTTTATAGGCTTTGATTATTAATTAAATTAACATTTCCCGTAAATTAATAATTATAATATCTTTGATATTAAAATAAAATACAATTTATATGAATGAATTAATACTAGATAGATAGATAGATAGATAGATAGATAGATAGATGGAAGCATAGGTGGCACTATATATTACGTAAACAATAAGTGAGTAAAAGTATCGAATTGAATTAAAGTGAATAAGTAAATAAAGTAAAATAAGTAAATAATATATATATATATATATATATATATATATAAAGATAGCAGAATTCAACAAAACAAAACATTTTTTATCATTAAATGTTCAGAATGTTCAGACCTTCAGAAAAAAACCCTGTTGTGTAACAAAATGTGTTTGAATGGACATTGATGAGCCAGCAACCCTTCAGCTTGGGTTATCATACTGTCATCCACTCAACCAGTTCATGACCCTAAGTCAATGATTAACCCAGGCACAAGTGAACGGTATTAAGAAATCTGTTCACAAACACCCCCTTCAGAGCCTTTGAACAACATGACAGGCCTCTCATCTGGAACACAGGATTTTGGTCTGCCCTGTTACCCTTTCTTTAGTTTGAAATAATAATTTAAATAATTTCGAGTCTGGACAGAATACAGGGATTAGTTGTTTAAACACATTCAACATGTTAAGACCATGTCTTGAGAACTATTCTGACAAACTAGCACATAGCCAAGTACTTTTCTTACTTTTTGGATTCAAATTAGACCAATCTAACAATCACATTGTTCATACAATTGGACTGAGGGATTTAAGAGCAGGGACAATTCAACCAAAATGTAGTCATCTTAATGTTGCTCCAAACTTGTTTGACTTTCTTTCTTTTGTGGAAGAAGATATTTTGAAAAATGCCTCATTGTTTTTTTTGCCCATACACTAGTCAGT